AATCGGAAAAATCTCTTGTTTAGGAGTGCATTTTTTAATTATTCATAAATCAGATTGTGATATATAATAATGTGCTTTTATATTTAATTTTAGCCTTCACATTGTATTGTGGGGCCCGAAGTAGGAGGTGACAACCTTATAATGCAGTTTGACGATAACATATCCAGTATGAGCCAATTCGGGGCATTATATAGGTATTGCCCAAAAGCTGAAGGAAAGATAGCTTCCACAGTCCTGCTCTCCGGTGTAAAAAAGCACTTTCGGATCGGGTGCGGCTGAGGTCCACATCGCACTAGAGGGCTCTTGGATAAATAATGCGTTCAGAGCGACTGTTGTTCATACCCCCAAGCATCGGGAGCTCCCTCCCTTGGTCGTTCAGATCAATGACCGAGACATAAGGAGTCACTATGCTCCCGAAACTTCCTCCCATCCCAGGGTTCGGTGGTGACCAGAGGCCTGCTCCGAGGGCTATCTAATCTCTCCGATGTTCGAGACGTTCGATGAAGGCAGATCCACTCCCCTTGTTTAGAATGGTCATTTGGCCGTATTAGAGTGGGTTGATGGAGGTATCGGCAGTGATACCAGATGGTACTTTCTCCGTAGGCTCAATTTTCATCTTGTCCGAATTGTTCATAGGTGTCTTTTCTTTCCGGTTTTCCTATTCTCAAAACCATACTGTTCTCCTCAAATGTTGGTCTTGCGATATCGGTCATGTGTTTGGTTACTTCAACAGTGAAGTAAATGAGGTGCGGATCTCTGTTCGGATTTGATTTTGAATGATATCTGAAAGCTTGTAATTGCATGCCTCAAATCTTTTTCATTGCAGGCATTAGATCTTCTACAATTGGAATTCAAAACTTTGAGATATTTGGTATTATACTGGGCTAACAAATTTGGGCTTGTCAAAATCGACGCTAATTGGGCCCCCCAACTTTCTCAAGAAAGGATTCACGTCATAACAAGAATGGATGCGCACATGGATCTGGATGGAATTGATCACAATAAAATAATTTGAAGTTGATTTAGTATGATGGAATTGAATGAACTTTAATCATATGGAAAAAAAGATGAGACAAAAATAGAAACTGAAAATAAACTTTGATTAACTTAAAAATTGAATGTGCAAAATGAACAAGGAACAATAAAACAAAATTATGCAACAAGAAATAAGGAAACTGATATGTTTTGGATGAATTGGATCTTATCTCTTTGGATGCATATTCCCAATATATATCCCCTAAAATTAGGCAACTCCCCCACTAAATCCACTTTGTTCACCACATGAGATATGATTTTATACATGATTCTATGCCTCTGAAACTGTTTCGGATAAGAATATAACTTACTTCGGAGCTGAACAAGATTGCTTCTTGCAGGTTGGATCCACAAATTATTGGGAGCGAATTTGTGTTATATATTTTGTGGGAATACAATTATTTATTACCAATTAAAAATATTTTGAAATATATTGGTTTGTCTACATGACTAATTTATGTTAATATATTTTCGATTAATATTACAAAAAATGTAATATATGCATATATTTACATAATAAATACTCCCTCTGCCTAGTAAAATTATGTAGGCTTGGTTAGACACACAAAGACTAAAAAATAATAATATTTTAATATTAAGTATATTGGGTAAAAAGTAAAATATGAGTATTACATAAAATTCATTAAAGAATTGATAAACAGAAAAAAGGAAAAAGTAATGGAATAAGTAGAAAAGATAGTGATAAGTACTATTATTTGTTAAAGTAAGAGTAATCAATTATAAATTAATAAAATTGTTTACTATAAATAAATTGTTTATAAGTTTAAAGGACGACAAAAAATAATAGTGACCTAATTTTGGCGAACTGAAGAAGTATAATATAACTATATTCACTCACAAAAAAAATAATAATTTGATAGAAAATAATTATATATATTATGAATATATTTTTACGTACCTACATAAAAAAAAATAGGTAAAATTACTCATAACTCTCTTGTAGTTTTGAAACTCAGCGTAAATCCCCCTTTACTTTAGAAATTGCATCGCGCTCCCTTATACTTTAAAAATATTGCATGAAAGCCCCCGTCATACAAAATATATAGATAGGAAACCATCCTCTCATCACACAAGGGAAGTTTCGGTGGGGTTTCCTACAATGTTTTTTAAAGTATAAGGAGTTGTCATGCAATTTTTAAAATATATTGAGATTTTACGTTGAATTTCGAAACCACATAAGAATAATAAGCAATTTTACCAAAAAATATCTTAGACTGAAAAATTATCATCTATCCATCTCAATTCAATCAATAGTCCTATTTTATTAGTTTTTTTTCATCTCATATAATAGTTTCACTTTTATAAATAATTATATCATCATAAAATTATTTCTATTTTTATATTATTATTATGCAAATTAAATATCACTATTTTTTCTACTTAAATTAAAATACACTCACCATACTTTTTGTCAACTACCAATATAATATCAATATTATTGAGTAAGGAAAAACCAATGTATAGGGTTTTCGAGAATGGACCTATAAATTGGGCTGTGGACTGGTGTATAGTTCAATGGGCCTGGTGATGGCACTAGGATCCTAAAATGGGCCCAAACGTTATTAAGAAATGGGTTTTTTGGGAGAGACGTGTGAGGTCGGTGAATACAGAGGTCGGACAAGAAAAGGTTTTACAAGGGAGATGGTAGGTATTTCGGTCGGTTGGCATGGAGGTCAGGCAAAAGGAAATGGGCAAGTGGAAAACGGGCAGTGGAAGACATAGTAGTAGATATGCAGGTCGGGTGAAAAGCAGTTCTAAGACGGTTGGAGGAAGTTATAACCGGCGAGCGGATATGGAGGCACGACCTAGATGTGGCGGTTGACATGGGCTTTAAATAGGTCTTTTCACGACCTAAGCGGACATCTTCAATCGACATCAAATTCAGTGAATTTCTTTTGGGGATCATCCTTTTACTTTTACAGTCTGTAGTATTTCTTTTTAAATTTTCTTATGTATCGTACGGTAACTAGGGATTCTTAATCTCAGACATTTATTTTATCAAATTCGAAGATAATTTCTATTTTTGGATTTTACTTTTTATTGTTGAAAATCTGCATCAAAAAATATATTTTAAATTTGATACTTGACTTAAAATTTTTGTGAATGAATAGAATATATATATACTCCTTCCATCTCACCAGATTAGTCTCATTTCTTTTGGGCACGCACTACAAAAAAATAGTATATTTGTAACGGAATTCTGTCGCTAAAGATCACGTAGCTAACGTAATTCCATCATTAATTCCGTCTCTAATATCATTAGTAACGGAAAAAGTGAATTTAATGACGAAAAAATCTCGTTACAAAAATGATATTTTCTTGTAGCGATGGATTTTAAGCATTATTATATTATGTACTTAATTAGTTGTATTTAATACTATTTGTAATGCAGTTTTGTTTTAATTTTTTTTATTAGATAAAAAAAAAAAATTGAAATACTTTTGATTTAATTTTTTTATATTAAATATTTTATGTATTAAAATTAATTTTTAAAAAATATTCTACCAATTATAAAATAATAAAAGAAATTAAATAATAAAAATAAATAATTTTCTTTTATATATAATTTTTCCAAGATTTAAAACCTCAATCTCTTTTGGGAGCCAAATACTTCCAATCTCTAATGTAAGTGCCAAAGAGGAATGAGAAAATGTGCGAAAAAAATAAATAAATGTAATTAACAATAAAAATAGAGCCTAACTATAAAAAAATTTACTTTAAGCAATATTTTACATAAAATTTTCCAAAAGATTACTCCAAAAAAATCTTGATTGTTTTTCTTCTATACTAAGAAGATGAAAATAAATGTGATGGGTGGGTATATTTATTATTTATTTTTTTTTATTTTTAGAAAACTAAATTAAATTCAAATTTTTATTTACTTTTTACATAAAATATAAAATAAAATTTTTATTTTTTAGTTTATACTAAAATTAACATTAACATTTAAACGTCATGGTAACATATATTTGTATTACATTAAATAATTATAAAAATTTAATTTAAACTTCAAATTCAAATTTTACTATTAATTAATTTTTTCTTTGAAAAACAATGAAATTAATTACTTACTATTTTTATTACATTAAAATTATTTAAAAGTCAAAATATCACATTAATCTCTATTTATATAATAATCAAATAATTATTCAAATTATAATTTTATTACTTAAAACTTAAATTTAATTATAAAAAAATCCTAAAAGCATGAGTGTTTAATAGTTATAAAATATAGTTAAGTTTTAATTTAAATTATTAGTAGTTAATTATTACTTTAAAAGGAAACAGGACTAATTTGGTGAACGGTAAAAAAAAAAAAAAAAGGAAAGTTGAACTAATCTGGTGGAATGGATGAACTATAATATACTCCTTCTTTACCAAACATCCTCTAACTCTCAAACTCATTGCAATATTTTAAAATTTAGAAATAATTAATAATATTTATATATATGTATATATATTAAATATACACTTCACTTTATCTCATCACATCACTCAAATAAAAAAAATAATTATTTTTTTCTCCAATCACATCACTAAATATCAAAATTATTTCAAATTATCATACTTAATACTCTCCACCTAAATTTTCGTGTCAAACACAAATATTGCACGATATTTGGGACAGATGAAGTACTATATTATAAATAATTATGTGTATATTTAATTTTTTAAAGATATTCATTTAAATAAAAAATAATACTAATTGGGTCAACACACTCAATAATTTTAAATAAAATAGGATACGGTGATAAATATGATCTTACTTTGAACTTTTTCTTTCTTTTCATAATTTCAAATTTGAAATGCTCTAAAAATTTTATAATTTTTTTATTTGCACCTTATTTTTTAAACGTACAATTGGAATTAAATCCTTAATTCTACAAATTTCTTTAAATTCAGTCCCTATTTCTAATTTATAACTCTGCACTTTCTCATTTTTGTATTTGCCTTAGTTTTAACTCCCCATCCATTCAATTTCCTCTCTGCCCTAAATCTTCAGTTAGATTTCGCGCAAATCGGTACAAGATCCAACGGGTAGGTACCAGCATCCGATCGGTAATTTCTTCTCATCTATTCTCACGAGATCAATATTTTGTGGTAGATGGGGCACGGAGGCGGAGCAGGTCTCGACTCAATCTGCCGGACGAGATATTTTCGGTAATACCTATACTCCTATGATGGGCTGGATATGGCGCGGAAGATCACTTCCACATAGCTTATTAGGATGTTGAGTTGCGGTTGAAAATCCTGCTCAAAGATAATATAATTTTTGAATTTCAAGTATTTTTTTTTTTATTTTTTGTAAATTTGATTATTGTATTTGTATGGTTAGATTTTGGGGAAATCTAAATCGCAAAGGAAGTGGGTGAAGAAGAGGGAATTCTTGGCTTTGACTGCAAACAAACTCATTCGTGATTTCGCAAAGGTATTTTAATTTTTTTTGCTCTTTTGTTTCAATCAGAAGCTTATTTAATCAAAAAGTTTTTTATTGTTTTTTCTCTTCTATAATTGTTCTTAACCATTATGCTCCAGAACATATGTATGTATATAGGTGTAGTTATTGGATTTATTAGTTTCCTCGAATTTTTGTTCTATTCAATTCGGATTGGGAATTCTACTATAAGTTTTGAAAGTGTGAATTTATAGCAAATTTATTTGTTTATTCTCAAAATTTGGAGTTTCATTCAAATCTTTTGTTGATGCTCGCTTGATTTTGATTTGATTTGATTTGGTTTGGTTTCATTCAAATCAATTGAAGGGTTCGTTGATTGGGAAGATTTTTGTCTTTCGAGTCTTGTCGGAAAATTAGAACTGAATCGGGAAGAATTGAAATTTGATATTGGTTGGACAATATCAAAGCACAAACATGAGAGTTGAATTGATTTCTCAATATAATTTTAGGTTTTGTTTGTTTGGTTTCTTTAATTCAAGATTACTTGTTTTTAGCTTTAAAGAATTGAGTGGTGTTTGCTTGGTTTAATTTCCATGATTTCTACACTCTTAATTTCAATGGTGCAGTATTTTTAATTATGTTTTATTCTTAACATTTTGGTTTAATTTCAACTTTGGTTCGGTGTCATTATTGGGTTTATTCAAATTTCGCTTCCGTTAATTTAATTTGTATATTTGTTTACGAGGTTTAATTCGAAGAATCCATCAATCTGGGTATAAATTCACAATACCCCTAATTTTTAGTTGTTTTTATTTATTGCACACCAAATCCCTAATCTATGAAGTTTACTGACTTTGCTGGAAATTTTCATTTTTTGTAGTCGCGCTTCATCGTTCTTGTTGATTGCAATGTTGCGTTTGGTGAAGAATCGCCGTGCAAAGTGGTTACAAAGAGGTGCAATTTTATTTTCTGATTCTGTGTGGTGCGTATTTTAGCTGATGATTTGTTTGTTTGTGTTTCGTTTTTGTAAATATAATTAGATTTTGATTTGATATTTTTGAGGTGAAAATGATTTGGGATGATGTTATGTTTTTTATGTTGATAAAATTCAAATTGAGTTGGATTTGTTCTTAAGTTTAGTTGTTGTTACAAAATCAGATTTAGTTGGACAAAATGCTTTCTTTTCCTTTGGAACATTTTGATGAATTGTTGTTGGCTATAGACAAGATGAATCTGCAAGTTATCTCTATTCTACTTTATTTTTTTTTATTTACTTGATTATTTAGTTTTGTAATATTTGTGATATATGGAGTTGAGATATTTGAAGGCTAACGAACATTGACTCTATTTATATGTATATGTAGGTTTAATTTGTGGAGTTTCATCTAGATTCTAGATCCTTTATTTATGTTTGTCTTGTTTTCATTTGGTTTGATATCCATATCAATTTTTAAAGAAGTTCTACATAACCGGTCATATTCTAATTTTTGTTACTTTTCTTATCTGGAAACATGGTTTTGGATATTTTGCTCGTGTATTTTCTTTGTCTACATTATAATAGTTGCTGATTTTTCTCAGGTTTGTACTATATAAGAGTTTTTTTGAAGGACTGGATCTAATTTAAGATAAGATGGATCTTAATTTTGTTTTGTTGTGTTAAAAAACAATTGAATGATAGATCGAGAAGGGCAACCACAATCATCGTCATCATTATCCAAGACTAAGGATTTAGATGTTCCACTTCAATCAGTTGGTTTTGAGACTGAATAGCTTATGCCCAGCAAGCTATCCAGCCATATCATCGTCACTTCGAAAGTGTATTATGTAAATATACAACAACAAGATCCAAAGATGCTTTGAAACTTGTTTATAAATTAATTGCACCGTGGTACATGAACGGAAAGTACGGGTATAAGTATGTGTATTTGGAGTATATAATATGTGTATATGGATATGTGAAAAATGAAACAAGACATAAAGATAATGTATATAGTTACGTGAATAAAGTACTCAAGTATTAACACTGAGTTTATGAGTATATATATACATTACAAATGTATTATTTGTAAAGTAGCAGGTATATTTGAATTTATTTGAGTTCCTACAGCGATAGATAATTCTCTAAATGAAGTAGCAGTAGGTACACAACTAGTAGGATTTTGTAACCAAGCCAGGTTTGGGTACGACGGAGCTACTTTGGAGTACTCGTCTTATTAGTCGAGTCATGTTCTATGCAAATATGCTCCTAACCGAATGTTGTTATGTGTGCTTCATTGTAGATTATTATGTAATAGATCTAAAGATTTTTAATTTGTGGCAACAATCATGTACTATAACAACTAATATAATTGAACTTAGTTACATTTTTAATTTGTGGCAACAATTATGTACTCTTAACAACAAATATAATTTAACTTAGTCACTATGACTTTTTTAGACATCTAGAGTGGAGGTTGGACTATGATTGTACATATATCATACACTAAGTCATTTATGACTTGTTTAACCACTCATAGTAAATATATATTATTTACCCTTTTATGCAATTTGGAGTGTCATGGGAACACTACCATGATGAATTCATCCCTGGTTATTGACATTAAATGAATATTTTGAACTGAGAATGACTTATTCCCTAACCACAGGTTACTGGGGCATATATACTCGTTACTGAAGCATATGAAACTATTATTATAGGTACGTAAGATCTATTCTAGGGTATGTAGACTTTTTATGCAGATATGTAAGTGTGTTATCCAAGTACAACCACCAACTAGGGAGGTATAAATAATGGTTGCTTAGGTATTATCTGTGTAGTATCAGGTATCCTCGAATATAGTTGATTTCAGTCAATCCCACAAAGAGGGATTGATTCGCAAACTTGGTGAGAGCATTTCCTCTCTTAGCCTCGGTGGACCGTATGTTGTTGTGTGTGCTACGCTATGGATTACTACGTAATAGGTTTAAATAACAATCAATCTCTAATAGCAATTATGTATGGTAGTGTTTCCCTATTAGATTTTTGTAAACATGTACTCTTTGCATGTTAGTACTCTCCAGAAATTGGTAAAAATAATTATCTTGTTTAATTCATCCCCGGTTACCATTAACATGTGGATATATAGTACTTTTCAAGATTATTTTATTAAAATTATTGATCATGTCAATAGTATTATTATGAGATTAAATTTACTTTCAATGACACAATTATATAAGAATGAGACATGTTTGGACTACAATGGAACTATTGGTATATTGGTGCATAATAGATTGCATCCTAGAACTTGTATTATTCTTATATTTTCAATGTCATTCCAACTGAGTATTTTCTATCTTGTTTATCAATCCATAGTAAATATGTGTTTTTTTTAATCTTTTTATATAGTTCTAGGATCCGCAAGAACACTATAATGATGAATTCATCCATAATTAGTAACAACAATTGAATGTTTCGAATTCAAAATGATCAATTTCCAAGGACAAGTTACCCCGGGCATAGATACTCGTTGTTGGAGCATATAAGATCATATTATAGGTACGTAAAAACTACTATGCGGTATGTTGTTATTTAACGCAGGTATGTAACAATGTGTCTGGATACGAGCATTGACAATCACGGTATGAGTGGTGACTGCTTAGGCATTATTTATGTAGTAACATTTATCTTTGAATGTGGTCAACTTCACTCAATCCTTTGACGGATTAGGCAATTAAGGAACTCGGTGAAAATACTTCTTCGATTAGCACTTCTTCACTTCATTGGTGGTTTAGAGAAATGACAGCAATTGGGAAGGCATAAACCTTTGCAATACATGTATATGTTTTTCTTTCTTATGTGCACCACTAATGTACTCAAGTATCCGTAAATGCACTTATGTTCATTGCAGATATTACTTCAACCATTGCAAGATCTTGTAATGAATTAGTCGATTCAAATTTAAGAGAAGTATGCATAATTTTTCTGGTTCGTTGTTGTCTTCATACAAGGATAACCTTATTAACTAATGGGTAACATGTATATAAGCATATGTATGTACTTTAAAGGTGTTTCGATCTAGCTAGTCGGACATATCGATCCCTTGTAGAGGTACAACATGTGTATTATTGCAATTCTAACCATCTGTAGAATTAATCATACAATCATTCACTGCACAATTGATAACATTACTCTAAACATTAAATTTCACCAAATTTAACAAACGATTCAATCTCTCAATCAATCTTAATACAATCTCATTGAATAAGAGACCAATCAAATCAATTCAACCAACAATTCAATTTGAAAATTACACATTACCCAAATCAAACACAAATAACACAACTTAAATCAACCCCAAATCCATCCAAATTCATTACAGGCGTTCACTTACCTTATGCTGCTCATCGGAGTCCACGGTTCGGATGATGGACCTTTCAGTATTATGCCGCAATTTTACCGTAGTAGCACTCACATATCAAACTCGCCGCCGATGCCGCCAATGAGATGAACTGCCGGATTAACGTGGGGGTAACCTTTGGCGAACAGGCGGACCAAAGGGCTGCAGTCGATTGTGTCACCTTGATGCTGACATCTTACGTACTCTGGCGTCTTTCTCACCATGGGCCTAATGTGTATTGTGTTAAGGTACAAGCATAAAAATCACATATGAAAAATAACACAATATTTATTACGTAATTCGGTTTATCCACGGTCAATTATTTATATTTATTTTATAACGCACTAATTTTTTCATATTCCCTTGTCCGAATGGATCACGCAGTGAATTGCACTCAAGCACAATCCAACCTACGATAAATAAACACCATAAGTCCATATTACCCAAATCTCGAATTTATTTAAAAATTTATCAGAATCTATCAAAAATACGTAACAATACATTCCGAGTACACAATAGTCCGCTAAAAGTATACTATTAGGAAACTAGACCTAAAAGATGAAACTCGGGGTACCTAACAATACCACATTTTTCGACCCACAAACATGACTAATTATCAAACTATCAAACAAAAAAACTAAAATATGCAACTTCGGATAACTAAAACAAAATGTATATTTACAAAATTAACAAAAATCACAGATTAAACAAATAAAATTACCCAAATCGGTGCAAAAATAAAACATCAAATCCGATCTACGTGGGCAAACATACAAAAAATTTCAAATCCAATTAACAAATACAACTTACCAATCACCCAAGGTTCCTCAACACGGAACCGAGACATACAAATACGAGACCAAAACTTACACTCCAAACAATCGAACAAACTATAATTTAAAATACTAATTTCAAAAAAATAAAAAATCGGAAAAGGTCCGACCAAGCAATTACTTCTTCGAGCTTGTCCCGGAAGATAGGAGCAGCTCAACTTTTTTCTTTCACTATTTTATCTGCGATTAGTTGCTACTTGATCGTGGGTTGGAGAACATCGGTTCACCTAAAGATGGAAGAGGTAAGGTTTAAAATTAGGGTGAGGGAAGTTACGAGAGGTTTGTTGTCTCAACCCAACTCCTGTTAAATTGTGGGTAACTGTTTTTTTTTTTTTTTTTAATTCGCGAAAAAAGATACGCGATATTTAAATAGAAGTATATAAAGTTATAATGAGAGTAGAGCGGGAAGTAATGTAGGTATATATAACAACGTTTGAAGTATTGATCAACCTATTTCGAGTACATGTTGCGAATACACCATTAATTCAGGGAAAAATATAAAGTAGGGAGCTATAACATAGCTAATTCATAAAGTAGGGACTGCAGTCTAATTGATTTCAAATATGGACTGAATTGCTAGTGGATTTATCTTACAGGTATTTTAATCTAATTTTTCCTTTTTTAAAAGTATTTTACATATAATTTATGAAATTATTTTAAATAAAAATAAAATAAAATAAAATAATTTTCAAAATATATTTTCTTAGTCTACATAAAATTTTATTTGGTCATTTTTATATATGTTAGTACAAAGTATAAAGTTTATTTTTAGTAAAATATGCAACTATATATTATAAATGTCTACAAAAAGTTACATTTATTTACGTCAATAATATTCAATAAAATTGAAATAATAAGGTTATAATTTTTTTACTCATAATAACTATTTATGAACTATTTCTCATGTTTCACATAATATGTTTTTTTTTTTTTTTTCCATATGTTCCATATTTTTTTTACAATAATTACATACTTCAATTATATTTAAATTATTTAATTTATAATTTTTTAATTTTAATTAAATTATTTAATTATATTAATCTTAATTTTTAATTATTTATATTATAATTTTATGTTTCGCTATAAACAACTCTTTTTCTTTTTATTCGGTCACACATAATATGATCATTTTTCATTTTTATAAATCAAGTTAATAAAATTCTGAATATTGACCCATTCAAATATGTTTTATTTATATTTTTTTAATAAATAAATATTTTTATTTATATTTAAACTCTTTAACTTTTATAAAATTATTTTATTTTAATTATTGATAAATAAATATATATTTTATTTATTTATAATATAAAAATTTTATTTTGTATAAAAATGATATTTATATTATATATATTTTATTGATATATAATACATATTTTAATTTTTTATTATAAAAATACTAAACACCACTTATATAAAAATTAATAAAATAATTACTATAACTAACTTAAAGCATCTTCAACAATGCTGTGTTTATCGCGTTTCAACACCATTTCTGCCGTCATGCTGCTCTAATCCAGCGCCATTTTAAGCTCCAATTTTGGAGTTTGCTGCAATGCAACACAAAAAATGGTGTTGCACTGTAGCAAAACTCTATTTATTTTATTTTATTTTTTAAATTTTTTTTAATTTTTAAAATTATAAATTTAATTTTTAAATTTTAAAAATTTTTTAAAATTTTATTTTAAATTATAAAAATAAAAAATTATTTAAAATAATAGGAAAAATTGAATATTTGAAGAATAATAGTAAAAAATAAACTTATGATTAAAATAAAATTATTGTAGCAACTGTATATTTAGAATGTATATTTAGAATT